ATTTCTGAAATAACACTGAAGAAATCTGAGTTGGTAAGATTTGATGATTTACTAGAGGTCAAAGTGCAGGACAGAGATGCACGTGAAGATGCGCGTGAAGAGGAGAGGGGATGCGGGGCATCCACTCCTGTTGTTCCACAGTCAGTTTCAAAGCAGTCTACCCCTACAGTTGCAGTTCGTAGGTTAGAAAGGGCTAGACGTTCTCCACAGCATTATTCTCCAACTTTGAACTACATTATGTTGACAGATGGTGGAGAACCTCAAAGTTATGAAGAAACCTTGCAAGATGAAAATTCGAGCAAGTGGGAGCTTGCCATGAAGGAGGAGATAAATTCTTTGCTTGAAAATCAAACTTGGGAGTTGACAGATCTTCCATCTGGGAAGAAGACATTACACAACAAGTGGGTGTACTTGGTGAAGTCTGAGCATGATGGCAGTAAGAGGTACAAGGCAAGACTTGTTGTAAAGGGTTTTCAACAGAAGCACGGTATTGATTATTCTGAGATTTTATCTCCTGTTGTGAAGCTTACAACCATTAGAATGGTACTGTCTATAGTGGCTACTGATACTGAAGATCTTTTCCTTGAGCAGTTAGATGTGAAGACATCCTTTCTTCATGGGGGTCTTGAAGAAGATATCTACGTGCACCAACCTGAAGAGTTCTTGATACTAAGAAAGGAAGAGTTAATTTGCAGATTGAAGAAGAGCATGTATGGCCTGAAGCAAGCTCCTAGACAGTGGTACAAGAAATTTGATAATTTCATGCACGGTGCAGAGTGAAATAGATGTCGGACATATCACTGTAGTTATGTCAGGTATTTTGACAATTACATATCATCCTACTATTATATGTGGATGATATGCTTATTGTAGGTGCTAGTATTGAGGAGATCAATAATCTAAAGGAGCAGATGTCAAAGCACTTTACAATGAAGGATTTGGGAGCGATAAAACAAATCCTTAGTATGAGAATTGTCAGAGATAGAGTTAGAGACATGTTGAGACTCTCTCAGGCTGAGTATATGAAAAAGGTATTTAGCAGGTTCAACATGGATAAGGCCAAACCAGTTGGCACACCCTTAGGAAGTCACTTCAGACTCAACAAGAATCAGTCACCCAAGTTAGAGGAGGAACGAGATCACATGAGTAAGGTTCCTTATGCTTCAGCTATTGGTTCAATTATGTATGCTATGGTTTGCACCAGACCAGATATTGCCCATGTAGTGGGAGTCGTTAGCAGATACATGAGTAATCCTGGAAAGGAACATTGGGAAGCAGTGAATTGGATCTTGAGGTAGCTCTGCAGAAACTTGCTTGTGTTTCTCAGGAAAGAGTTCAGAGGTACGGGGCTATGTTGTTACTGATCTAGCTAGAGAAATTGATACTAGAAGAAGCACTACAGGCTATATTTATACTTTTTGTGGCACTGCAGTATCATAGGGCTCTAATCTGCAGAAGACAGTTTCGTTGTCTACTACAAAAGTTGAGTATATAACAGTGTTAGAGGCTGCAAAGGAGATGATATAGCTACAGAGCTTCTTGGAAGAATTGGGCAAGAAGGATCAGAAGGGCATTCTTTACAGTGATAGTCAGAGTGCCATATTCATTGCCAGAAATCCAGCATTTCAGTCTAGGACTAAGCACAATCAAATCAATTAACATTTCATACGGTCATTATTGGATGACGGACAGTTGTTGCTCAAGAAATTTTGTGGAAGTCAGAACCCTGCTGATATGTTGTTACTCTAGAGAAACTGAAGTTGCACGCAACTTCAGTTGGTCTTCTAGCTTGAAGACAGTGGTGTTGAGTTGCAGAGATGGAGGATAACAAGTTTGAAGAAAAGGGCTACGCCACCAGTGGAAAATATTAGTCTGAGGAAGAAGTTGTAGTCTGTGTACCAGTCTTCAAGTGGGAGATTTGTTGAGTGTGGATCTCGGCAGAGAAAAAGAAAATTATAATTGCTCCTGTTAACTTCCTCCCATGTCTCCATCTCTGTCGTTCGTGAACGAAGTAGAACCCTCCCGTTTCCGTCTCCCTCTCTCGCGAAACAGGAAGCTCCCATTTTCATGAACAGAAAAAGAAGTGCTCCCTGTCTCCGTCTCTCGCTCGCGAAGCAGAAGCCTTGCTCCCTCTGCGCGACTTTGCTGAAGGTCTGGTAGTTTGATCGAGAGGGAGGAATCACCCACTCCCTTGATATTCCTCATCAGCAGGTGTTTTGCAAGGTGTTGTTTTTGCGTGCTCGACAGAAGGAAGAAGAAGGTTGCTCTTCTTGATTTCTTCTTGTTGGCTTGGAGCATAAGAGAAATAAGTTTTTCTCTTGTACGTATTTCCTCTTCTTTGGAGTTCTTGCTCTTGGGTGATCTCGGTGTAAAGAGAGAGAGAGAGAGTAAGTGAGAGATCCTGTAATTTTCGACGTGATCAAATGGTGTAAATTCCTCAATTAGTAAAATCCTCTACATCCGTGGATCTAGGCAATTTGCCAAACCACGTAAATCTATGTTCTTTTATGGTGTGAATTTTTCTCGTTCTATTCTTTGCTTCGTCAAAGTCGATCATTTTAAATTTCATATATATCGCAACATATTTCACTTCTATAACCCCGAAATAACACTGCAGAGGTTATTCCGGGATTATTTTCAGGATTATTGCGGATTTTTCTAGGTGAGTCTTATAAAGCACACATGGCAGAATATTACTGGGAGTCCCCACTTAAAGCT